TCTTTGCCGAAGAAAAATAACAAAAAAAGAAAAATACTATTCTTATTTGCAAAAATAAACAGAGAACCATTTAAAATGAAACCCTGATGTGTTTTTTTGAAACAATAATACATAAAGAATTGAAGTAGAATACACGAAAAATCTGAATAAAAATCTATCACCATGTATGAGACACACACATCAGCACATTAATGATGATATCTAAGAACTAAGCCAATATGATTCATTTCACATTACGTTGATAAAACATATCTAAAGGTAATACTTTCAATGATTATTAAGTGATACTCTCATACTGATCAAAGCCATTCTATCCTAATTTATTTAGAATGTTACAAGTATCTCCGGAATTTGTTGGTGCTTCTCAGGTAACTCGTGTTGGAAGAATTAATCCTGAAGAAGGCAAAAGTCGAATATTTGATCGACCCGATCTTCTCAATAATCAAACTCGTTTAATATTATCGGCTGATATGAAACCAAAACGTTTAATACGTAGTGCTTCACGACCCATTTCAGCAGGTCAAAATCTAAATCGAATTAATTCCGCTTCAACTGCTATTCTAGAAGATGATCTAGACGAAGAAGGTGAAGAATTAGATCGTGATGGGGATGATGGTAGTGAATTAGATGATGTAGGTGGGACAACACTTCACCGTCAACATTCAGCACAAATTGATTATGATACAGATATTGAACAAGAACGAGAGCCACTACGTGATTTTTCTTGTAAAGGTTTATATTTAGAAGAATGTAGAAAATATGGTGTTATACCGTCGACTCATTATTTGAGAAATTTGAATAGTGAATCGTTGATCATCCGTTATTATGGTATGAAACCAATAAATGTCAAAGTCATGGTGCCATCATTGAAGATAAATACATCAATTACAAAACTAGATATGAACGAGAATGGTCTAGGTTCAAGAGGAGCCATATACATTGCACAATTGATTAAGGATAACGAATATATAACAGACTTGAATTTATCGAATAACGATATCGGAGTACAAGGTAAGACTCTCTTAAGTATCAAAAATTTTTTAACGTGAATTTCGAGAAGAAATAATATCATTGAAACACTTATACGGTTGTCATAGTTATCTACGCAACGTTTGTCTAGATAAAATCTAAAACTCCTTTAGTACGTGTGAGAATAATCGGTTATAAGAATAGTAAACTCTATTTTTTTAAAACTGCTTATTTATGTCAAAGTTTCGACACATTTCGTATACCACAGATTCTCTTTTACATTTACATTCACAAACATTAGTATGCAAAGACTGAAGGGTTACGCATAAAATTACATAATCTTGTAGACAGAATAAAACACAAATTAGAAAATCTCGAGTATCTGAGTAGTGTATACGCTACTCAGATACTCGAGATCAAATGTTTGAGAAAAGAAGAGTTTTAGATAATACCTTGTTCGGTATTCGAGGATACTGTTTTTGGTATGCGAAAGTTTTTTGTTTTTTCCAAGGGTTGTCGGAGATTCAGGTTATGCTACCTGGTTACTTTTTCCGTATAAAGTGCATTTTTGTCGGTAAACGCGAAAGAATCTCTT